TGAAAATTACAAAAGTGAGTAAATTCACTTTAAAGTATCTACGATTTCATTTGTCGAAATCTAGTAAATCTGTTCACTTTTGTAATTTTCACTTCATTTTAAAGATACACAATCGACTCCCTGAACAAGTGAGTGTTTTATGAAAAAATTGCTTGTATAAATTATATAGTTTTGAAAAATACGTAAAATAATGATATTTGCATGATTTTACATGTCCTTGTCAAAATGACGTCAAAATCAACTTGAAATTTTTAAATGAGAACTCTTATATAAAGGAACTTGTAATGTAACAATATTATCTTGCAATAAGTTTCTATTACAGTACTGTTGTAATAACGTTGCATAATAATATACATATGATAAATTACAGTTTTATATCAAACGGTTAATTTACAAAACATTATATTTTTACTATCACATTATATTATTGCAAAATAAACAGAGTGTTTACTGGGTAGCATTATTCAAGATGTACATATCTTGTGAAGATTGTGTGATCAGATATTATATGTACATCTCATTTATATAATATGCTGTAACAAAGCGTGCAGAATTACTTTTTTCTTTCTTATATGTTTAAGTGTAATGGTGTATGAACAAATATATTATACTCTCAAGAAAGATATGAATAAGAAAAATACACAATTATTTTATAAATATCAATGAGATTTTGAGATTATTACAAAAAATTTAGATATAATTCTTCGTACTTATATAAAGTAAGGCTGAAGAAAAAGTAATCCGGATTTTTTTGTGAAAAATATTAAGTATTTGTGAAAAGTATTAAGAAAAAATAAAACATTTTCTTTCAATTAAAATAATTGCCGTTTGAATCTACTATATTTTCTATCATCTTTCCCAGCAAAAACACATTTTTATAACTATATTATAACGATTACATAACTCAGTATAACCGAATATAACAAATAATATTACAGGATTGTAACATGTAATAAACTCGTTCCTTGTAATTTCCCACTTAAGGATGAAGCAACAATGTTATACAGTATGCAGTTAATATTTAAATGTAACAATTATATAATGTTATATTATTGATACATTAAGAACATAACTGTAATAAAATTAAGATATAACATGTTATTGCTATTAATTTGATATTTATATACCTAGGTAGCCAAGTCTGTCGAAAGCAGATCATGCCAAGTGCCTGCTGTCAACTATTGTTAGCAAAAAGGATACAAATTTGGTACAGAAGTTGTTATTACAGATTAAATCGACAGATTGATGCCAAAAACAAAGCAGAGTATGCTCACAGAATCTGACAGCAGAAAACGAGCAGGATTTGCTAACTTGACTTGACGTCAGATTGGTGGCAAAAACCGAGCAAGATCTGTGCGCGCGCAATCTGATGGCAGATTGATAGCAAAAACCGAACAGGATCTGCGCGCGTGCAATTTGACGGCAGATTGGTAGCAGAAATCGAGCAGGATCTGTTACTTTGACTTGACGTCAGATTGTCGGCAGAAACCGAGCAAGATCTGCGCGCGCGCAATCTGACGGCAAATTGGCAGCAGAAACCGAGCAGAATTTGCAGCTTTTAGCCATTTATATAATTTATTGAAATAGTATAGTTTATGCAAAAACCGAGCAAGATCTGCGCGCGCGCAATCTGATGGCAGATTGATAGCAAAAACCGAGCAGGATCTACGCGCGTGCAATTTGACGACAAATTGGTAGCAGAAATCGAGCAGGATCTGCTAACTTTACTTGACGTCAGATTGTCGGCAGAAACCGAGCAAGATCTGCGCGCGCGCAATCTGATGGCAGATTGATAGCAAAAACCGAGCAGGATCTACGCGCGTGCAATTTGACGACAAATTGGTAGCAGAAATCGAGCAGGATCTGCTAACTTGACTTGACGTCAGATTTTCGGCAGAAACCGAGCAAAATCTGCGCGCGCGCAATCTGATGGCAGATTGATAGCAAAAACCGAGCAGGATCTACGCGCGTGCAATTTGACGACAAATTGGTAGCAGAAATCGAGCAGGATCTGCTAACTTGACTTGACGTCAGATTTTCGGCAGAAACCGAGCAAAATCTGCGCGCGCGCAATCTGATGGCAAATTGGCAGCAGAAACCGAGCAGAATTTGCAGCTTTTAGCCATTTATATAATTTATTGAAATAGTATAGTTTATTCGCTTACCGCTATGCGACGCACTATTTACTTTCTATAGCCGTATTCAAGTTCTTGTCATGAGCTTATATAAAGCCTGCAAAATGCGATTAATGACATTGTAATTATTTCTATCAGTTTAATTTCTGATACAATTCCCATACAGGGGAATTCAGATATTAAATTGATTTTTGGAAAATCGGACAAATAAATGTCTGATTTTCACTTATTCGGACAAGTTTTGTCCGAATAAATGAAAATCGTTATTATCTACTTAGATATAAAATAGAAATTAAATTCCATATATAAATCTTTAATTTTATAAATTATTTAAATTTTTCTATATATATTACATAAGTATATGT